AATGTCAAATGATGATAGTATTTCCCATGTCAAATAATGATTCAAGATGAATGAGCTTATTCTGATTGGCCATAATAAATTGTGCAGAATGAGATTATTTTCTCTCCCTTGCAAAATTCTGGAAAAGTTGTCGTAACGGCTTCCGAAGAAGATGACTCTCCAGCATGGATATCTGATGATGGCCCATTCATGGTGGACACAGATCCACTAGATGGTTTGTGAAATGTAGATGCCTCTATTCCCACCGGAACAATAGTTGGGATCTACAACCGCCTTGTAGAACTGTATCATCTGCCAGTGGAAGAGAAGGCAATGTTGAATTTGTTAGAGTATTCATAATAAGGATAGTTTAGACATTTTTTTTATGTTGTGTTGCCCTACTATATAAGAGTTACTTTATGTTGTGCATTTTCTTTACAGACTTCTTAATGAATAATATATTCTTTTTTTCTCTTTCTCTTCTCTATTCTCATTGATCAATTCTATCATGGTATCAGAGCATGGTTTGATCTTAACATTCTTAAAAAAATTTTAAGAACACGGTAGATGCTTCATCCTCTTCTGAACTAGGGCTGACGTCATCAATCTGTCATTGCTGACGTCATCAAACCGGAGCGAGGAGAGTACTACAGTACTCGATTCTTCATGGGCTTTCCAATGGTATGCTTTGTTTTTGATTTGGAGGTCATTGGATAGGGTTTTCTAATTTTTGAATGATTTTTCAAAAATCTCGACCCTATTTTTCGATTTGTGAATTGCGGCTGTCTTTCTCGAATTACTTGCTTCCAATCGAGTCTAAAGGATGCGTTTAAGAGTATAGGTTGGTTATTTGTGTGATTTGAAAGTCTTTGGTTTGATTTTGGGTGTCTACTTGTTGCTTGGGACTGTCGGGCTACTGTTCACAGTAAGAACAGCAGCCAAAAGTCTTTGTGGGTTGCTTTGATCTTCAAATCTTCAACTGTGGGTGGTTTTCTTGTTGTGGCTTCAGCAATTCTGGACTGGTTGGCTTGTTTCGGCAGCTATGGGTGAGTTGGATTTTTTGCTTGCTTCGGCAGTTGATTATTTGCTCTGCTAGGTTTTTGGCTTATTTGGTGTTATTGCTTCTTTGGGCTGCTAAGTTTGAATTTGACTGTGGTGCCGATTGATAATTGTTTGTAAGTGGTCACTTTGATTCAATTCAAGTCATTAGTGTGAGATTAATTGGTAAAAATTATGTTTATTGGGCTTATGTTATGAAAAAAAAATTTGTTGGGGAAAGACATGTGGAATTATATTAGTGGTGTTGTACAGCCTCCAACTGATACTAAGACAGAAAATTATGCTGATTTGAAGAGTATTTGAGATATTAATAATGTGAAAATTATTACCTGGATTAATAACTTAGTTGATTAGACCATTGGGGTTCATCTATTCAAGTTTACCACTGCTAAGGAAATTTGGAATTATTTGGCCACACTTTTTGTTCAGTCTAATTTTGCAAAGAGATATCAGCTAGAGCATGAGATTCGAAATGTGCGTCAAGGGGACAAAACCATCCAAGAATTATATTCTGTTATGACTGGTTTCTGGGATCAGTTACCACTTACTGAACCCACTGAGTTGAGCACTAATCTGGCATATCGCACCTTCAGAGAGGAACAGAGGTTGGTGTAATTCTTGATGGCCCTTAGGGATGACTTTGAGGGACTTCATGATACCATTCTTCATCGTCACCCACTCCCCTCAGTGGATGCAGTTGTTAATGAGCTCTTAGCTGAAGAGGTTCACCTCCTCCTAGATTATCTTATAGTTTTGGTCAAGTATGTCGACTTCATCGTGCCTTATATGGTCTTAAACAGGCTTCTAGAGCATGGTTTGCCAAATTTTTTTCGGTTATCTGTGACTTGGGTTTTCGTGTCAGTGACTATAATTCTGCTATTTTTTTTATGGTCTACTTCCTCAGGTTCTATTATTCTCTTATTATATGTTGATGATATGATTATTACGGGTGATGACACTGTTGGCATATGCTTATTGAAAACCCAGTTGCAGGACTATATTGAGAAGAAAGATTTGGGGTAGCTTAAATATTTCTTGAGTATTGAGATTGCTTCCTCGCCTAAAGGATATCTTCTTTCTCAGTCCAAGTATGCTTTAGATGTTATTGAACGAGCTCGTTTATCAGATAATCGGATAGTTGAGACACCTTTAGAGCTCAATGTTCGTTACTCTTCGTCTGACGGTACTCCCTTATCTGACCCGACCTTCTATCGGACTATTGTTGGGAGTTTAATATATCTTATAGTCACTCGTTCGGATATCTCTTATCCTGTTCACATTGTGAGTCAATTTGTTGCCTCACCTACCACCATTCACTAGGCTATTGTTCTTTGCATTCTTCGGTATCTCCATGGTACTCTATATCAGAGTTTACTTTTTCCTCACTCTTCCTCTATGGAACTTAGGACTTACTCTGATGCTGACTAGGCTAGTGACTCTATAGATCGCAAGTTCACCACTGGTTTCTGCCTGTTTCTTAGGGATTCTCTTATTTCCTAGAAAAGCAAGAAATAAATTGTTGTTGCTCGTTCTTCTGCTAAAGCTGAGTATTGTGTCATGACATCTACTATAGCTGAGATAGTCTGGTTACGATGGCTCCTTGTTAATCTTGGCATTTCGGTATCATCTCCTACTCTTATGTTCTGCGACAACACCAGTGCTATTCAAATTACTCATAACTCGATCTTCCATGAGCGCACAAAACACATTGAGATTGATTATCACTTTGTGTGTCATCATCTGCAGTAGGGCACCATCACTCTCCCTTTTCTTCCTTCCACAATACAGATAACGGATTTTTTTACGAAGTCTCATACTATAGCATGTTTTAGATTTCTTCTTGACAAACTCTTGATGTTTTCTACCACATCATGAGTTTGAGCGGGGGTGTTAGAGTATTCATAATAAGGGTAGTTTAGGCATTTTCTTTATGTTGTGTTGCCCTACTATATAAGGGTTACTTTGTGTATTTCTAGGTTAAGCTGTGTATTACAGACTTCTTAATGAATAATATATTCTCTCTTTCTCTTTCTCTTCTCTATTCTCATTGATCAATTCTATCAGAATTCTATCCAATGCTTTTCGCGATTATCAAAAGTGAAAACACTTATTTATGCTCTCCTAATGAATAAAAATGAGGTTTGCAGTGCAGTCTACTATGCTTTCCCACTTGTTCTACCATCTCTATATCACAAGCATGGTCATTAACTGATCAACAACAGATAAGTTGTGGCACAATAGGTTAGCTAAGTGTTGGAACATTATTTGTGGTAGATACTCGAGAGGGCTTAGTAAAGAGAGCTTTTATCCCAATGACTAAGACCACCTAAGTTGGTATATATGCTTGAGGGGCCTCTTCACTCATTGCCAATTGGTTTTGAGTAGGATGCTCCAATAGGCTCCACATATTGGCTTCGGATTGTGATATCCTGGATGCCTTTTCTGGTGGTAATCGTTATGGTCAATTTTAGAATAGTGAGGCCATCATTGTTCAACTGTGACTCAAAGATAAACAGAAAAAATTAATGCTGGTTTAGCCATATTAATATCCTAAGTTTTTAGCTTATTATGTGGCTGGATAGGAACTTGAAGATATGGAAATAACTGGTGGGATAATTGTAAGGAATGCTCTGTTCAGTGAAGTATGGAAAATCTTTTTATTAGTCTGCTCCATCAAGATTATCTAGTTTGCCTAAAGTTGAGTTTTGAACCATCTTTCTCATGGAGTCTTGAACCCTCAAAGTCGGTGAGGATGTAGTATGCATCAAGAGTGCAAACCTCTTGATGCAACACGTATAGCAGAAGATTATATGTTAGATCAGGACCGTCAAAAGCAGCACTAATCGGGTGCCAATCAAGACTGATTTTGGACGATAGTGTCAAAAAATTTCAAAAGACTCTATTCTAGAAAGCTCTCGACGATCATAGCAAGATTGAAATGTCCTTCAACCCATTATTTTTCAGCCAAAAAATGACGTTTATGACAATTCTATTTCATCCTGCTATTTGGGGCATTTTCTAGTAATTTAGGACCATTAGGGTTCTGTATTTATATGGTCTCTAAAACTGATTCAGCTTGGTTTTGTTTTGAATAAAAAGTTAGAAATAGATCTCTTTTCTTCCTAATTGCCTTGGTATTCTGTGAAATCAATAAGACTCTTGAAGACTCTAATATGGTATTATTGCGATAATCAACAAGTAATAACTTCTGTTATTTAATCTCATTTCTTTCTTCACACTACCCACCTCTTCTAGTTGAAACAAATGAAAACAATCTAGCTGTTGCATTAAAAATTTGGCATAGAGCAGACTTGACTGACTTTTATGGCAGTGTGGGATTATCTGAGTAAGAAGATGATAGACTCCTATTTTTGGTGAACGATCTCCTCTACAAGTTATTTTCAGGCGTTTTACTCTTCTCCAAACAGTAGATTATTCACACATCCAGATTATTTGGATGCACATCCTTTGTTCAAATTTCAACCCCTGCACATGACAAACTACATTGCAGTTGGTTTGTTCTCTTTCCAAGGTAGAGAGCTGTAGAAGTGTTGTGGCTTCAGATGCATACCTGAAAGAATGGGAGTGTTCATTTGTGGCAAGACTATGACAATACATCTTTCTATGGATGGGTAGCTGTTTCTTGTTACATAATTCAATCTGGTAATCTGTTCTCTTATTTTGTTTTGATTTTTCTATTCGAGTTTTGAGTGCAACTTATTCAATCAAAAAACACTGTTCAGTGCCATCTCTGTATATACTCTGTTAAGATTTCACTCTAAATGTTTTATTGTTCCAAGAATATTACTGTACAAAGAAGAAAGAACAAAAAAAAAGTGAAAATTTCATAATATGAAGTGGATTCAGGCATAGTTTAGTTATGTATCATTCCTTGGATCATGACCACCTTGTATAGCAAGGCTAGTGACTGAAATACAAGATTTCTATCAAAAACATGGTCGCTAGGTGGGACATTTAAGCCTCTGCTTCTTAGTGGTATTCCTTGTTCTTGCTCTTAACTTGTCCAACTGCTGAATGAAATTGTTTATATAATTGTCATGAAGGTCCTGGTTGTCAAAAATAGTTTTTATCTGAGCAGCCTTCAATCTTATAAACTCTCCCTCTGGTTCTTCCATCACAAATCTCATGGATTTTGCAACCACGTCTCGACTGAAGGAACCATCTTCATTACTTGGGACCTCATAGCCTAGTCCTTTTTCCACCAACAATTTAGCATTGAGACCTTGATCAGACACCATTGGCAGCAAAATTTGAGGATGTCCAAAGCCAAGTGACTCTATAATGGTACCCCAACCAGAATGGAATAGACATCCTCCAATGGCTGCATGAGCAAGTATCTCCAATTGGGGTGCCCAACCAAGATTGACAACACCACGGTCGGAGATTCTAGTCAGAAAATCAGGAGGCGGAAGGTCCAGACTATGTAAACTTTTCGGCTTCCAAAGAATCCATATAAATGGCAGCTTATAAAGCTCAAGTACAAAAGCCAACTCATGGACTTCCTCAATAGGCATCTTATACTCACTCCCAAATCCCACAAACACTATAGACTTTGGCTTCTGTTTATCCAACCATTTGGAAGTGCTATGCCAGCTTGAATCCACAGGATTATTGCTTCTGTTTTCTACCAAATTTGGTGGGAGTACACCAATTGGTAGCACGAATTTTTGGTAGAGTTCCTCAAGGAGATTGATATACTCTCCCTCAAACTCTTTACAGTTTCTTACTAAGATGAACTTAGACTTTTCCAATATGGTAGCTATCCTTTGGCCATTTGAAATGCCAGATATGCCAGGATAGTGCGCGTTTCGTAACATTCTTGGTCCATAATCAGGCCTGTGGGCAATAAGAGAAGGAAAAGTGAACCAATCTAGGGCCTTTGTAAAATGTTTTGGGCTTGTACGCAGGCTACCATGCTTTAGCTAGTCTGGTGGCCCAAAGTACGATAATGATGCAGCGGTGAACATGCTAAAGAAAGTAGTAGGCACGCCAAATTTAGCGGCAGTTTCTGGGACCCAATATGGAGCAAAATCGGCTAATATCAAATCTGGTAAGTCCTTATACAGGAGCTCTTCAAATGGAATGACTAGCTGGTCATATGCTTTCTTCAGATACTGAATTTGCTCGATCTGAAGGTCAATGGTTGCCTCACAGTTTTTTGGCAAACCGGCAACTGATGGCAATGGGATGTTTACAAACTTTATGCTCTCTGCTAAATTTTGGGGAATGGGAGGTAACCTCTACAGATTTTTGGGAGTTGAAACTGTTGAACAATCTAAAGACATACAAGAGATAAGAAAGAGAGGAGACTAGGGTTTTATTAATACTGCATAATTTTAATTGAATACAAGGGAATAATTTAACCTAAATACAAAGAGACTATATATAAGCTAAACAAGGTAGAGAAAGTAAAAGACTATTCTACCCCTAATAAATAAAATAACCCTATATTTTTTAACATCTCCCCTCAAACTCACGATGAAGCAGCGACAAGCATCGAGAGTTTGCCAACTAGAAAACGAAAACGAGAAATAAAATGCGACTTGGTAAAGAAATCTGCAATCTGCAAAGAAGAAGAAACAAAGGGTAAAGTAATGGTGTCATGCTTGAGATGATGACGAGTAAGGTGACAATCGATCTCAATGTGTTTAGTTTGTTCATGAAAAACTGAGTTGTGAGCAATCTGAATAGAACTTTGGTTGTCACAATACATAGGAGTGGGATGAGAAAGAGAAACTCTCATATCTGCAAGTAACCAATGTAAACAAACAATCTCTTTGGTAGTAGATGTCATAGCATGATATTCTGCTTCGGTTGAAGATTGAGAAACAATAGATTGTTTCTTACTCTTCCAAGAAATAAGAGAATCACCCAAAAAGATACAGAAACTAGTAACATATTTGCGATCTGTGGGATCACTGTCATGATCAACATCAGAATATGCATACAGCTCCAAGGAAGAGGTGGATGGAAGTAAAAGGCTCTGAAAGACTGTACCCCGAAGATACCTCAAAATACGAAGAATCGCTGCCCAATAAACTGTAGTAGGAGAAGCAACAAACTGACTAATAACATAAACATCATATGCAATATCTGGACGAGTAATAGTAAGATATATCAAGCTCCCAACAATAGTACGGTATAAAGTAGGATCTAACAAAGGTAAACCATCAAAAGAGGAATATTTTGCGTTAACCTCAATAGGAGTATCTACAGTCTTATTATCAGTAAGTCTAGCTCGTTCAAGAATATCTGTAACATATTTTGACTGAGAAAGAAGATAACCTCTGGGTGAGCAGGCTATCTCAATACCCAAGAAATATCGTAGAGAACCAAAATCCTTCATTTCAAACTGTCTAGCCAACTCTGCCTTCAAAACTGAAATACCATTAATATCATCACTAGTAATAATTATGTCATCAATATATAAAGACAGAATGATATGACCTGCATTAGTGCACTTAACAAAAAGAACAGAATCATGACTACTAGAAGTAAACCCAAGGGAAGAGATCACAACAAAAAATTTCTCAAACCAAGCACGAGGTGCTTGTTTGAGACCATATAACGCTTTCTTGAGCTTGCAAACATACCCAGAATCATGTGAAACACCAGGAGGAGGAGTCATATAAACTTCTTCTTGAAAATCCTCATTCAAGAAGGCATTTTTAACATCAAGTTGAGAGATATGCCACTGACGAATCGAAGCAACTGCAATAAGAGTACTAATAGTAGTCATTTTTGGAACAGGAGCAAATGTCTCCTCATAATCCATACCATACTATTGAGAGTACCCTTTTGCAACCAACCTAGCTTTGTATCGCTCAACAGATCCATCAGAATTGGTCTTAATCTTATACACCCACCGACAACCAACAACACTCTTACCAGGAGGTAGAGGAACCAAATCTCAAGTACCTGTCTTATGTAAAGCAGAAAGTTCCTCATCCATAGCTTGCTGCCAAAGAAGGTCAAGAATTGCCTCTTTATAGGAAGAGGGCTCAGAGAGACAATGAATAGAAGCTAAAAAGGAAGTAAAAGATGAAGAATAACAAGAATAAGTAAAATTTGGTAACTTTGTGGACTTACGAATGTGTGTGGATTGACGTAGAGGTGGATTCACAATCTCAGACGGAGCTTAAGGGACCATAGGAGAAGAGGTAGCTTCAGGTGTGCTAGAGAGTAAAGTGTCAGTACCTGTTGAATGATCAGTGCTGGTATTTGAAGTATTAGAAACCTGAGATGACAAACTATCAGATTCATCAGAAAAAGGAGATCTATACGAATAAGACCAGATCTAGTCAAGCTATAAGTAGTGGATGGAATAGAAAAGAAAGGTATATGCTCAAGAAAAACAACATGACGAGACACATAAAATTTTTGAGTTATTGGATCAAAACAACGATACCCCTTTTTACCTTCACCATATCCAAGAAAGACACAAATAGCAGATCGAGAGGACAACTTGTTGCGTTCAACATGAGGACGAAGAACAAAACAAGTACAACCAAAAACTCTAAATGAAGAATAATCAGGGGCATACCCATACAACTTTTTGAAAGGAGAAACACCTGAAATTTGAGAAGATGAAATTGTATTAATCAAACCTACAGCAGTAAGAACAGCTTCACCCCAAAACTCACTAGGAACAGAAGAAGACAACAAGAGAGGACGAGCAATTTCAACAATGTGCCTATGTTTTCTTTCAGCAACACCATTTTGCTCAGGAGTATTTGTACACGAAGTTTGGTGAATAGTTCCATCTAAGGCAAGCAACTCAACAAATTTATTAGAAGTGTATTCCCCACCCAAATCACACCTAAAACATTTGATAACAGCAGAATGTTGAGTTTTGACAAGAGGTCGAAAGGCTGTATATATCTCAAAGAATTCAGAACGATGTTTCATTAAATAAATCTAACAACAACGAGTATGATCATCAATAAAAGAAACATAATATCGAGACCCTCATTTTGTGGTAACAGGAGAAGGTCCTCATACATCAGAATGAATCAAATCAAATGGAGAAGAAGAAACAAAAATACTTCGATTAAAAGGTAAAGCTAAAAATTTTGCCAGTTTACATCTACTACAATCAGAAATATCACAAATTTTCAAATTTTCTAAAGCCCTGTGGATGCCAAAATTCTCAAACAAGAAGACAAAACATGACCTAAACGAGAATGCCATAAATAAAAACTAGAAGAAAAAATACTCAAACGAAAAGAAGATAAATCAACACTAGTAGCAGCAGCAGTAACTGACACTTTTAACTTATCCAAAATATATAGTCCTCCCTTCCTACGGCCTGTCCCAATCAGCTTCTAAGTCTGCAGAAAATGTGACTAAATTTTCAGAATCACATAACTGACCAATAGAAGCAAGATTTAATGTGAGTTTTAGAATATGATAAACATTAGGGAGAGACAAGTGAGGTGTGACAACAGAACCAACGCCTGTTAAAGGCATAAGAGTGCCATCAGCAGTCATAACAGGAATAGAAGATGAAGGAGATACAAAAACAAAAGATGAAGAATCTTGAGACATATGATGTGAGACACCAAAATCCAAGACCCATACAAAATGTGACATACCTGGAAAACTATGAGGCAACTGACCTCCTAAAGAAGAAGCAGACATAGCTTGTGGCTGTAAGGAGAGAAACTTCTAAAATTGCTCAGCCAAGATACTAGAATCGATGAAAGGACTTGATGAAACTATTGCTGCAGTATTAGACTGTGGTGGTTTGTAACCCTGAGGTGGTCTAGAAGCATTAGATTGTGACTAGTTGCCAGACTTCCAAGCTTGAGATTGCTGTTGCAATTGATTCTACTGTCTTAACTTAGGACATTGAGTCTTCCAATGACCTTTCTACTTACAGAAACTGCACTCGTCGAAGGTAGGTCTTGTGTAAGGCTTGTTCTGATTATGAGAGAATGGTTTAGAAGGTACTGCTAGCATAGAAGGATCAGCAGTAGAAATAATTTCCTTTTCAGAATAAGACTTAAGACGTATCTCTTCAGCTAATAACTCACTGACAACTGAGTCAACAGAAGGAAGTGGAGAACGATGCAAAATTGAACCTCTAAGTCCTTCAAAATCACTACAAAGTGCCATAAAAAACTATACCAACCGTTGCTACTCTCTACGAGCAATATAGGCACCACATGCCTTTAATTCAATAGATTCTGTAAGAGCCAATTGATCCCAAAGATCTGTCATAGCAGAATAAAATTCTTGAATACTCATATTCTTCTGTTGAAGAGCTCGTATGTCATGCTCCAATTGATACTGCTTTGCAAAATTTGATTGAGTGAATAACCTTTGCAGATGATCCTAAATCTCCTTTGTTGTCTCATACTTTGCCAACTGCGTACCTATAGAATGCTCAACAGAATTGTTGATCCAAGTAATAATTTTTGCATTGTCTGCTTCCCAAACATCTATCAAATCAGCATAACCTGCATCAGTATTCTTAGGTTTCACATAAGTTCCACTAACATATCCCCATAGCTTTTTACCCTTAAGAAAACTTCTCATCACATAACTCCAATATGAATAATTCTTTCCATTTAACCTCACACTCACAGATTGACACGAATCGTCTCTTGCAGTAGCCATAATCAACAAACAAAGAAAACCAGATTGCAAAAAAGGGAACCAATACCAGATTGCAAAAACAAAACAAATACTAGATTGCCAAAAAACAGAACAAATATCAGATTGCCAAAAACGAAACAAACACCAGATTGCCTCGTAAACTGTGTTTGAGATTAAGTCTTGTCCCATGAAACTTTGTTCTGATACCATGTTGAACAATCTAAAGACATACAAGAGATAAGAAAGAGAGGAGACTAGGGTTTTATTAATACTGCATAATTTTAATTGAATACAAGAGAATAATTTAACCTAAATACAAAGAGACTATATATAAGCTAAATAAGGTAGGGAAAATAAAAGACTATTCTACCCTTAATAAATAAAATAACCTTATATTTCTTAACACAAACAAACGATATTCGGATGGCGTTGGCAGCTAATTTTTTCGACAGCTCAAGAAATGGCAGCATATGCCCAAATGCTAACCAGGGGAACACCATAATATGACACTGTTTAGCTGCCATTGATGCTTGGAAACAAGAGCAGGTGCTTATTGCTTTCAGTTATAAACCCTTTAATAGAAATTTTGGAGTATGTCTTTGCTACCCACTCTGATATTGTTTTACATGAGAATTATTGTAGATCTGAACTAAAGAAATGAAGAATACTATCACATGGTGTATTGGTTAGTGTGTGATATTTTTTACAAGAGCAGGTGTTTAGTGCTTAGTGCTTAGTGCTTTGAGTTTGAAACCTTTTAATAGAAATTTTGTAGTATTACTATGCTACCCACTCATATCCTTTACATGACAATTTTTGTAGCCCTGAACTAAATATATGAAAGATACCCATCAAAACGATGTATTGATTTCAAAATCTTTTGGGGTGAGATATATTTTAATATATTACTTGAAAATCTATATACTTGGGAAACAATTTTTTGTTTTTATATTTTACATATGTTTAATCTTCCAAACTTGAGTATTACATTTCAAGTTGATCATGTTTTAGTTCGTACTACTGCTCAATTTAAGCAGGGGAGGACTTTTAACATAGCAATGGTTGAAAGGGCCAGGGCCAATGCATCTGACATAAAAAGTACTTCTATTGTCCATTTATGATATTATATGTTGTTCTGATTTTTCCTTTTCATTTGTGAGTGCATTTAATTCAATCCGAAAAGACTGTTTAATACCACCAATGTATACTGTGGTAACATTTCATTATCAAAGCCTTACTTTTTCGTGATTATAATTTGACAAGATGGAACAAAAAAAGAAGGATAGAGAAATAAATGTTTATGTTAACCCTTCTCAAATGAAGTGGAATTGGGCATATATATTGTTATGTAAGATTTCTCGGATCATGACCACCCCTTGATTGAACACTTGTGCTTCTGCTTATACAGAAATCTGTCTTTAACTTGTTTTAAGTGTTAAATCTATACTATATCTTTCATTCATTAATCTGCATACTCGTGCATAGGTGTTTTCCATTTGTAGGAAATACCGCTTTATGATATCCCTTGTTCCTGCTCCTAGACTTGTCCAGAAGCTGAATGAACTTGTTTATGTAATTGTCGTGAAGTTCCTGGTTTCCAAAAACAGATTCGATCTGAGTAACCTTCGATCTTAGCAGCTCTCCCTCTGGTGCTTCCATCACTATTCTCATGGCTTTGGCAACTGTGTCTCGGTTGAAGGAACCATCTTCATTCCTAGGGACCTCATAGCCTATTCCTTTTTCCACCAACAGCTTTGCATTGAGACCTTGGTCAGCCACCATTGGCAATAGAATTTGTGGGTGTCCAAAGCCAACTGACTCTATAATGGAACCCCAACCAGAATGGAATAAGCATCCTCCAATGGCAGCATGAGCAAGTATCTCCAATTGGGGTGCCCAACCAAGATTGACAACACCCTGGTTAGAGGTTCGAGTCAGAAAATCAGGAGGCAGTAGGTCCAGACTATCTAAACTTTTCGGTTTTCTAAGAATCCATATAAATGGCAGCTTAGAAAGTTCAAGTGCATAGGCCAACTCATGGACTTGCTCAATAGGCATCTTGTACTCACTCCCAAATCCCACAAAGACCACAGACTTTGGCTTCTGTTTATCCAACCATTTGAAAGTTACAGACCAGCTTGAATCAACAGCATCATGATCACTTTTTTTCTCTGCCAAAATTGGTGGGAGTAAACCAATTGGTAGAACTGGCTTTTGGTAGAGTTCCTCAAGTAGAGTAATATAATCTTCCTCAAACTCTTTACAGCTTCTTACTATGACAAACTCACATTTTTCCACTATTTTAGCAATCCGTTGGCCACTTGAAACGCCAGATATGTCAGGATAGTGCAGGTTTTTTAACATTCTTGGTGCATAATCAGGCCTGTGGGCAATTAGAGAAGAGAAAGTGAACCAATCTGGTGCCTTTGTAAAATGTTCTGGGCTTGTACGTTGGCAACCAGATTTTAGCTCGACTGGTGGCCCCAAGTATGCCAATGTTGCAGCTGTGTATACACTGAAGAAAGCAGTAGCAACGCCAAATTTAGCAGCGATTTCTGGGATCCAATATGGAGAAAAATCGATAAGAATCAAGTCTGGTAAGTCCTTTTGCAGGAGTTCTTCAAATGGAATGACTAATTGGTCATATGCTTTTTTCAGGTACTGAATTTGTTCTAGCTGAAGGTCAATGGTGGCCTCACAGTTTTCTGGCAAACCAACAACTGATGGCAATCGAATGTCCACAAGCTTTATAGCTAGATTTTGTGGAATTGCCGGCAACCTCTGCAGATTTTTGGGGGTTGAAACAAACGAAACTCGGATGCCGTGGGCTGCTAATTTTTTGGAGAGCTCAAGAAATGGAAGCATGTGCCCAAATGCTAACCAGGGAAACATCATAACATGACATTGTTTAGCTGCCATTGATGCTTTGAAGCAAGAGTAAGTGCTTGGTGGTTTCAGTTTGAAACACTTTAATAGGACTTGAAGATAAATTTGCAGTTCTATATCACAATCTTTTCATGAGAATAGTTTTTTAACACCATACTACAGGAATTAAGGCTACCCATCATCACATGATGGGTTTCACAATCTTTTGGTTTGTGATTTTTTATTTATTTATTACCCCCTCTGTTCTTAAATATCTGTTGTTTTACACAATTTTTTTTGTTCCATAATATTTGTCGTTTAATGAAATCAAAACATAATTAATATTTTTACTTCTAAATTTACCCTTATCTCTGTTTTTCAATAAGTGCTTAATAGATTAAGTGTAGTTTAAGTGTCTTTTATATTCCTTTGCTTCCCCATACATATTAAATAAGAGTATTTTAGTCTTGTACAATTATTTTTTACTCATATTAGAGCTATTTAATAGTTTCCTTAATTCCTGTACAAAAACCTTAAACGACAGATATTTAAGAACGGAATGAGTACTTACGAATTAGAGGATAGATTAACCTTAACGTTATAGATTCGAATTAAAAAAAACAATCTTTCTGTGCGGGGTTTAGATTGTCTATATTTGACCCACAATTGCAATTTTCTAAATTTTTTTTGCTTTTACTTCCGAAACTTACTTCTTTGGGCAACAATTTTTTTTATTTTGCCTATATTCACTCTTTCAATCTTGAGTCGTGCGTTTATGTTAGTGATGTTTTGATGGTTTTTCAACTCATGCTACTCTTCACTTTAAGTAGAGCGGGACTTTTAGCAAAACAATAGTTCTGAAGGCCAGTGCCAAGTCTTTATAAATTACTAATTTTAGAGTATGTTTGTTTCATGTACAAATAAATGATGGGATTGGATAATTAGTTCCCATTCAATTCATAGAATGATGTTAATAAAAGTACTATTTAATCTTGTCTTTGTATAACAAGTTTGGATCAAGGTTGGAATAATATATAAATTTATAATTATAATATCAAATTTATGTTTAGATTAAATAATAGTATATGGTATTAAATTAAAAATATAAAATAAATATTGAGAGTAAAAAATTGTAAAATATGTAACTTTTATATAAAGGTGTGATTCTAAATTTACAAGGATAGTAAAATTATTACATTTTTAATACTTAATTTGTTAGAAATAATATTACCTACTGCATGGTATTCATTATTACTTAATATTAGGTGTTAAATGATAATAGTGAACTGGGTCGGAATTATTTAAAATTAATATTGCGTCGTTATAACTTTATCCAAACTCAGTATTATATTATTATCGAATTAAATTAATTAAATTCACCCTCTTAATACCTAAACCAATCAAACTTCTATTATATTTGACAAGCCATGCTCTGATGAAAAAGATATAAGCGGTTATTATCTCGAGTTCTTAAGTTTGACTATTGTAAGAGAATTCTGACATAAATATATTTTGTATGTGATTATGTGTATTTGAAGTTTGCAATGCAGTCACGAAATTCAAAGGATGTACAATTGGGATAGTGGCTCTCCGTTACCAATTTTTTTATTTTATTGAAAATTGCTACTTCTTATTTTTTTGGTGAAAGCAATGGATAAAAATAAAGCATTGAAAGGGAGAATACTGGAATCTGGAAGTCAGTGATGGCCTAACGGCTCTCCATACCGTTGTTGGACCGTTAAATCACGCAGCGAAGGAACCAAATGAAGGCCTAAGGGGGCCATGGCCCCCCTCAAGTATTCAAAAATGCTTTATACTCCCTATAATTTTTAAAAATTTCATATCTCATCTTTTGTTTTAATTTTTTTTTTATGTGTAAGATACTTAAATTACTGTACTCAAAAAGCTAAATGACCTTTAATAACCAAACAGAGATATTAATCAAGTGGACAGCGCTCCACTTACGGACATAGACATTTGCTAGAATAAGTTTTATGACCCAAAAAATATATATATATTTACAATATGCAGCTATAAATGTCAATTGTACCATAAACGATACACTGAATCAAGATTAATTATAATTTATTTTTAATTACTAAATCATATTATAAGTAAAAGAACAAGTGGACTTAAAAATAGTACATTTATTTTTACAATGGAAAGTACGATTTAGTTTTTAGATTTTTCAACCCAAATTAATTTTTATATGGTATACAATAGATTTTGACAGTTCTATACAAATAAAAATTTGACTTCAACACTAACATTCGATTGACCTCATCGATTAAAAAATTTGGCTCTACTACTATTTACATTTGGCCCCCCTTGTAATAAAATTTTGATATCGTCCCTTGAAATCACGGATGCGAATTTCACCATCCCTCTTTCCTGTAATTGTTTCAAACAGTGACAAAAAAAGAAGAAGAAAGAATACTGTATGTGTGTGATCATGTGAGACCGGCATGAAACCTAACTATGGGTGTAGGATTAACGCATAGGAGATGAATACTTATTGTAGGTTGCATAACGATTTTATTCTACTTTTTGTTTTTTTTTTTGACCAGGTGGCTACATATATCAGTGTATGTATAAAAAAATTAGTTTATGACTGATGATACCTCAAATAAGTTATAAGAGCGAGTTCAGGAAATGGGGTCAGGTCAGGAGGTCATGTAGGATACGAGTAGCTCAGAAGTCCAGAGCTAGAACTCCCTCTGGGGAGATAGTAGCGGAATTGACCAGTGAACAGTTGGATAACTGCGAAAATTGGGTTCAAAACATGAAACTCTCAACCAACAAATATTCTCTCATAAAATCAAGAAGAATCCCACTAATTATAGGCGAAGATCTCAGCTGAGATCCTACAGAATAGGGAATAGTCCTATAAATGCTATGCAACGCCTCCATAGAGAGGAGAGAAAAAAAAACCCTAATTTCGTGATACACCATATTATAATGCATTTGAGAAGTGAATAGAGGAGAGGGAGCAAGAGCCTCCATTGAAGAGTGGATTAACCGAGCTCCACAGCCGGTGAACCACTATACTCTTAATGTGCAAACATCCCTAACCCCCCAAAGAGTACTTCATCATTGTCATTACGAACTTGGTAGCCTGCATACACATTTGGTCACACACACACGCATTCAGTTCATCCACGTTGATTTACACCATCAGTTTGGCATCGTCTGTGAAAACCCACTGTTCCTATTACCAAAACTCAAATCTTTCTGTAACTGATGGTATCAACTCGAAATATGAGGAGAAGCCAGACAAACTCACAACGGGTGCAGGATCAACAGGAAGCCACTAACGATGGACAACCTGAGAACGTCCAAGAGACTAATCCAGCCATAGGAAACCTCCCTATGAATAACGAGGTGGAGGCCCTTCGCCTCATCAACCAACGCCTACTGAAGCAAAACGAAGAGCTCTTAAAGCTCTTACAACGCTCACAGGAGGCACGACCGGCCCAAGAAGACCAGAACAATCTCCTTCACAAGGAACCACAACATCTCGATCCACTTAGAGAAGTCAACGAAGGAGGGAAAAATAGCCAAACCTTGGGATAGGTTTCCCATCCACCCCCTAGGAATGGCCACAATGAAGAGGTACAAAGTCAAAACAATGAAGATGAGAATGATGATTTCTTCCCTTATCAACAGAGAGGAGAGAACAAAACTGGGAACAATGCTTCAAGGACATCCAATAGGAGCTCAGACACATGAAAGAAGCGGTCAGAAGTAAAGCTCCAGTTACAATGAACGCCTTGGTGCAACAAATTGAATCTTCATTCACAACTGGGGTATTGCATTTCCCCCTCCCATTGAAATTTAGGATGTCACAAATAGAATCCTTTGACGGAACCAGGGACCCCATGGATCATCTGAATACCTATAAGAACCTGATAGAGTTGCATGAGTACCAGGACCCTGTGCGCTGCCGAGCCTTTGCCATCACCTTGAAGGGCTCAACCTTGACATGGTTTAACACGCTCCCTCCGGCCTCAATCTGTTCCTTCAAGGAACTTTCCATTTCCTTTATGTCTTACTTCATAGGAGCTCAGATCTATAAAAAGTCGAGCTACCACCTCTTGAATGTGAAACAGGGACCTCAAGAGAATCTCAGGTCTTACGTCCAAAGATTCAACTCAGAATCACTAAAGGTGGATGTCCCAGATGAGAAGTTTGCTATTACCGCCTTCATAGCTGGTCTAAGAGTGCAATCTAAAGATTTGATGTTCTCTATATCAAAGAATCCCCAAGCAAGCATGACTAAGGTGTTTGTCAAAGTAGAGAAATATATAAACGGCGAAGAAGCCCTTCTCTCAAAAGTGGAGAGCTCATTAGCACAAAAGGATAAGGGAACAGAAGAAAAGAAGAGGGACCAAAGTCCCAGAAGAGAAAGAGAAAGAAATAAATCTCCGAAGAGAGACAGGTCTCCCATGAAAGATAAGGAACGATCCCCAAAAAATAGAGAAAAGTCTGTGCAACCTTGAACGAGCCCAGGAGGTCGGATTCTTTCCTTGGGTATGATAAGGCTCAATAAGTTAAATAGTTGGGTCACATCCCAGAGGAGACTTCTCAGATTTTTTTAGGCTGACAAAAAGGGGAGCTTGGTTTCTAAGGCACAATAAGGTTTCATGAGCATAATCAACTGCTAGAGCCATATTACCAGCAATGCTAGCAGATGCATCAAAAGCAACTATACCCTAGTCTCTATACCCAGCAACAGGGAAAACCAATCCAAGAATGAAACCAAATTTCCCATGGTTAATGTGCTCTGCAGACCTTAAAAAAAGTTTTGGGAGGTCTACACAAAGGGCTTCCAAGCTCCGAGGAAGGAGGAGCTCTGGACTCCATTGCCTCAAGGGGATCTAAAAGTCCCCTCGAAGCAAGAGGGGAAGGAGGAGCATAAGTAGTGATGTGTAACTTAGCAAAAATGAAACAATAAGATAAACCCTAAGGTCAGCATCTAGGAGCGTTCATAGAGATAGACTTCCTATTTTGAGGTTAGGATTAGCAGAAGGAAAAAATAGCTCCAACTTTTCCCTGATATTCCTCATCCATCTCAAGCGTTCTCAGCACTCGATAAGCCTGGAAGAACACGGCATGATAAGTTGTAGCGAAATTTGAGAAATAAGGCAGAACTCAACCCCTGACTTTGGAGGTTAGATTCCTTTGGGCTAAGGTCAGCTCATGTGGTTGTGTGGACCTTCTGGTATATCTCTTCAAAGAAGCCTTGTATGGATCTCGGGTTAGACTTCCAGAATCCCTTGAGAAAGTTTTCAGATTTCTTTGGACTAAGGTCAGCTCGTATGGTTGAATGGACCTTCTAGTACATCTCCCCAACGAAGCCTTTTGAATTTCTTTGAATCGAGGTTTACTTGTATCCCTACATGAATTCTCTGATCTTTAAGTTCTAAAGAGTGCACAATGTGAGCCGGTATTACAAATATAGCTCAGATAGACCGAAAGAATGATGTGCATCATTTCAAAACGAGGATTATACTTTAGAGCATCAAAAGCGAAGTTACATTCCAAAAATACGAGTCATTCCAAACAAAAATTACAGCTCAAGACCCTAAGTTTCAGAAGAAAGAGTAAATAAAGGGTTCTGCAATTCTGCGGATGAAACTTCAGCAGCAGGAACAGAGCCCGACAGCTCAAAGAATAGGGACCTAGGTGGTAGAAGAGCAGAATTCTCAGGGTGTTGGTCGCAGGAACCTCTACTCTGGCCATTGGCGAGTTCTGAGCAAGGGCCTTAGTTACGAGGTCATCATAAATAGAAGTATTAGCAAGAATAATTGGAAGAGTGGACATTTCAGTACCTTCCAAAGCCCTATCAGAAGCAGCAGGAGCCAAGGTGTTGTCATCGCCCTATTAAAATTGACTTATCCTCAAATAAATTTTTTAAGTATACTTAAGTCCAAAAAAATTTACAAAAAAGGGATCGGCATGCCTAAGCCCCTTTAAATTTTGAAATTCTAGACTCATTAACTTGGCCCAATGGATTGCCTGTTGGACCCAAAACTGGCCCAATGGAAAAACAATGGCTCATTTTTTTTGGATGATGGGCTACCCATTTAGCCTATCAGACAGTTAACGGCCCAGGATGAGTGGTGGGTCGAGCCTCATCTCGAAGCACTTCGCACCGAAACCCCGACAATTCAGCGCATTTTAGCCCCCAAAACCCTACACTCTGCTACTGGATTGGCGGCTGCTGGAGAGATACGGATCGAGGAATGTTCGTCAATGTATAGAGAGAGAAAGTAGGGAGAGAGATGGGCACTACGTTCCTCTCTCCACCAGCAAAACGTTCAATCTACACCGCCACCGAAATGTCCGACCCAACCGCCACCGTCAACGGTGGCGCTTCCTCCAAACGCTCAAAACCACCGCAGCTACCCCTCTCAGTCCCCTCCGGTCACGTGGCCTTCCGCGTTCTCTGCCATGCGTCTTGTGTCGGCGGCGTCATTGGAAAGTCCGGCACCATCATCAAACAACTCCAACTCGTCACCAACTCTAAGATCCGAGTCGAAGACTCGCTCGACGACCACCGAGTCATTGTCGTCGTGGGTTCCTCATCAATTTCAAAGAAAATCACGCTTAATGCCACTGGAGAGATTAAAGAAGATGAAAACGGTGGCGATGGTGAGAACATTGTGGAGGTTTCACCGGCACAAGAGGCGGTGATTAGGGTTTTTGAGAGAATAATTAAGGTTGCGGCGGAGAGCGATGGAGTGTCGGTGGCCGATGGAGGATTGGTGTCTGTGAGGTTGTTGACGGAGACGAGTCAGGCGGGTTCGGTGATTGGAAAAGGAGGGAAAGTTATTGAGAAGATTAGGAAAGACACTGGGTGTAAACTTAAGATCTTGAGCTCTGAAAAGTTGCCGGCTTGTGCCTTGCCTACCGACGAAATGGTGGAGGTTAGCGTACTTTGAAGTTTCTAGACTATTAAATTATAGTTTGTTACTTACAGATTACCAATCTTATACAGTAATAGCATTTGACTTTAGAAATTACCATTAACTTAACTTTAACTCCTCAAAGATCAACCTTGTCCCAACTACTTGGGACATGGGGAGTTGTACAAGAATCCTCTATTATCCATTTTCATCTTTCTATGCACAGGGCTGCCTTTTCTGTGAAAATGGAATAGCTTTAGTAGTTATGGTGTTAATAGAAAAGGTGTTGCAGTGCGTCATTGATTTCGACTACTGTGTACGTTGTACTGGAGCTGCATGTTTTTGTAGCGTAAGGGTTAGTTTAGAAAATATGGTATGAAGGGTATTGTATAGATGTGGTGAACTTAGTTAGAGTTTGAAATTACAGAGTCAAAAAGGGGTGGTGGTTTTTATTCCTCACTCTCGTATAGGTGAACTTGGTTCGTTCAATTCTTAGGGAGAAGAAGGATCCATTGGGAATGAATGGGAAGACTGGAGTAGTTTCTTCATTAGCCGGAAGGAATTAGTCTCCACTAGCGTCATTCGAAGAACGAACAAGAAAAGGGTTACTGTTTAGGTAGGATAGATGGATGTGGTCCAATGGCTAAAGCTCCGCCAGCTTCTTGTAGACTAAAAAATTTAAGGGGTGGGAATAGCCCCACCCATGCTTGATATAAATATCAAAATGTGGAATATAAGTCAATGTCTTTGAAAGGCAAATTTCTATGCTTAGTAAGACCTTGAGTTGGCTGGAATTGTTGCATTGCACTAAATTCAGCTTAATTAGATTTATGAAGGGAGGTTTAGCTGGACCAGATATAACATTAATGAACCTATTAATTGTTGTCATTTTAAAATATATCTGTAGTACACCGATGATATTGTGTATATTAAATATAATTGTTTTTTTTCAATGGAGATATTGGAGCCTAGCAGGCCATAAAATTCTGTGTAGATGGTTTGTATATAAACCCTGGTTGTGCATTGGTTTTTCCGTATCTTTTATTCTTTTTGATAATAGTAGTAGTTTCTCTCTATCACCTAGATATTGTTAAACAATAAAGAAAATCTGAGCACTGAATGGAACACATAGATTCTTTTTGTTTCATTTTTACCCTTGAATAAGAGGGAACTGTAGTTGGACCTGATATAGCATTAATAGAGGGTTGAAAAGGGTCATTATCTTCCCATCGAAAAAGGGTCATTATCTAGTTAGGCCCCCTTGATCGTGGGTGATGATAGGGGTGAACTGAATGCAGAACAACCTTTTGGCATTTTTTGCACAAAATGACTGCTATCGATTCGAATGAAGCTATTGGAGCCCGCTGGCCTACCTCATTTTATTGGAGGTTTTGTGTATATATCCTGTTTATGTAGATCCTTAAACAGTTTAGAAAATCAGATAACTGAGCGGAACATTTTTTATCTACTCTTTTCTCTTCTACCCCGGCATAAAAAGCGACCTTAAAATTTCCAACATGAAGAAATAATAGACTAATCTGAGGCAAAACAAGCTGGACAAATTCTATGAATACCCAACTATCTAATAAACAATCCCTTCTTTACAAGTTAATGAAAGGATAAACATAAATCCAAAATCCCTCTCAAATCTCAGGAGGTGATACTGGTGACTAAGAGAATAAGTTTTTTTCCCAACTCTGTGCAAATTACATAATTAAACTAGCTTTCTGTCGAATAATAATAAAGCTATTCAGAAGACGAAAACATTCTATATAGCTGGAATATAGCCTTCCTTGTCTCTTTACTTGTGTGGTTATGAACCACTGAAGAATTTATTCTTCCTCATTCAAATGGTCCATGGTTTTCAAAACAGGTAGGATGATTTGTTGGGAAGCAATCCATATGATTCTGTGAATCTTAATTATTCATGTGAGAATTTTTTAAACACATTATGTCTTGCAATCCAAAATGGTAATGTTGCGTTTTTAGCCAAAAAACTCAAAAAATCTGCACAATGGACTACAAAGGAAATTGTAATGGATATTCAACATTAGCAATGAAGAGAGATACAAAGTCTGGCAAGAGTTTGAGAAAATTATAGAATGGTTGGAATTTTTAATGAACTATGTTGGAGCTATTGTTCCCAATCTTTCAAAAGTTGTATACATGTGATGCACCTCTTTGTTCCTCTTGGAATGTCTCGCATATAAACTTCACTGACTAATGTAAAACCATGAGCGTAATGGTATAAGCTTACCTGATTTTGCAATAACGTAATTAACTCGGTGCTCCCCTTTAATTGGATTGGAAATGAAACATGAAATCCATTGTTGTTGCTAAAGAAATTCATCAAGATACCGGTGATTCAATTGCAAGGATCTAGATGAGAAGAAACTTTTGTGGCCAGTTTTGTAATAGAAATGGAATTGAGAAACAACCATCAACAATGACCCCCAAAAAACAAAATTCTGTAAACCATATAGAGGTAGATGCAGAACTTTTAATTTGTAGTTATATTGCCCAGCGATTTGTGATGCGTAGGTTGCAGATTCCTATTGTTTCCATGTTGTATATGAATAGAACAGCTCGGGAAGATCCTTGCATGGAAGGAAATCATGGCAGCGAATGGTGTTGGATATTGAGTTTGGTAGATTCAATTAATATGAGAAATTCTTTTTGATCTGATGATAGTGCTTTATTTTATTTTATTTTATTTTATTTTTAAATGATTTTTAGCCCTTTTCCCCATTTGAATTTTGCTGTGTTGTGGCAGATAGAGGGCGATATTCTGTCTGTTAAGAAAGCTCTTGCTGCTGTCTCTTGTCGTCTGCAAGATTGTCCACCAGTTGACAAATCAAGGATGATCAGAAGCAGAAATTTTGAGGCAGTTCCCTGGGAGCCTGATTCACACATGGATTTTCCTCTGCCTCGGAGTTCAATGCTTCAACCTGTGCCAACCAGCTCTATCAACTATGCCTCAGGAGGTCATCCTTTATCATCAGAGGCTGACAGGGTTCCGACCATGGACTCAAGAACGTCACAGCAAGAGGTGGTTTTCAGGATCCTTTGCTCCAACGACAAGGTAGGAGGTGTTATTGGCAAGGGAGGGTCCATTGTCAGAGCTCTTCAAAGTGAAACAGGTGCTTTGATAAGTGTTGGAGCTTCTCCGCCTGATTGCGATGAACGATTAATAACTATTACTGCAAAAGAGGTCTGTCATGTTGGGCATCAATTTATACTATTTTGTTTTGTAGTTCGCAAGGAGCATATTTGTTAATAATTTGTTTCGCTTGCTGTTTTTGTGTGCAGAATGCAGAATCAGGGTACTCACCTGCACAAAATGCTGTCAATCTTGTTTTCAGTAGATCTGTAGAGGCTGGCATTGAGAAGGGACTAGATTCGGGAGTAAAGGGATCACCTGTTTCTGCACGACTAGTTGTCCCATCAAACCAAGTTGGTTGTTTGTTGGGAAAAGGAGGCACAATAATTTCAGAGATGAGGAAGGTGACTGGTGCTGGCTTACGGATTATTGGAGGTGACCAAGTCCCAAAGTGTGCTTCGGAAAACGATGAAGTTGTTCAGGTGTGTCTGCCTGCTATATCTTCTTTTGCTAAATTTCTCTTCTGAAAAAATAAATGAGAAACAGTTCATTCAGTAAGAAATAGATAATACACGTAAAATAGTTAAAGTTGTACAAGAAGTCCAACCTAAAATTTAGAAAGTAGCAGAAAAAGACGATTAAGTTTTAGCTTGACATGGTACTAATTATGTGTCACAAACTGCTTTCCACCCTCCCAAAATGCAAAAAAGGAGGATTTTTTGTTCACCCCCACTTTTAACCTTTCCGTCGTTCTCCTTTGTGTAAAAAGATATATAAGGTAAACGATGATATCCTTGTCTTGTCATCATCATCCAGGTTGTATTACAGTTTTTTTTCCGTCACCTACACCCCCATCAATTTTGATCCATGTGCGTTACTTTTGTTGATACTATGTTATAGACTCTTATTAGGTGTTCAGGCTAGTTCTTTCTTTTTCCCCTCTTGCACTTGCATATTTTATGAGATATAACCTAATTTTTCACTTACCCACTGCATTATCCTTTCCTGTTCTAATGTACATTTTCTTTGTTTCCTTATGCCTTGTTTTTAGATCAAGGGTGGACTTTCTGTTGCCTTTCTAGTTCTTTAAGTTTTATTGATGTACTAGTCATGTGCACATTGGTTACAATATTTTTACACATGCTGCACTTTGTTTGGTTGAAATTGACTATGATTTACTTCTAAGGGATGTATTTGTAAGTTTAGAATGAAAGCTGTTCATCTTTTGAAACTAGAGGTTTGAAAATTTTCATATATTCTTTGATATTGTTCCATCTGGCCAATGATTTATCTGGTATCCACCGTAAGTTATTTGCCAGTTTTTGCACAAGATATGTCTTGGTATCGTACATGGACCAGTTCACCTGGGCGTCTGTTATGGAGTTCTTTAGATGAGTTCTTGAATTTTAAATATCACTGAATTATCAAAAAGAAAATAAAAGGCTGAACTGTATGACAAAAAGAAAACAAAAAGTTATTAACGAGTCTTGAATTAGTGAACTTGTGTCTAAAGTTGATAGCAGAGTATTCAATGCACTGATTATCAAATCTACACTGAAATATATATATATTTTTTGTTTGATAGATAACTGGCGAGTTTGTAAATGTACAAAGTGCTTTGTATAATGTCACTGGTAGGCTGCGGGATAACCTCTTTCCTGGTAAAATGTTGAATGGTCCTGGAACAATAAGCAGTTCTTCGGTGATAAGCGAGTTCAGCCCCTACGGTAGAGTAAGGGATCCTCCTTCTCTTGGGTTTCATCCATCTGTTGGTGTCTCTCATAGTCTTGATCGACACGGTACTTTGACTCAGAGTATGGATCATCTTGGACTGACACACAATTTAGATCGTCCCCCATCACCAAGGTTATGGGCTTCGCAGGTAAAATTTTGTAAGTTTTTCTTCTTCTTTGTTCTTCTGCTATCCTCGTCATCAGACTTCTTAAATTCTTTGCTATCTATTTTGCTTGGGTTTGATTGCAGGCTGTAGCTGCAGTAAATCCAAGGGATGCCGGGGATGTAGGCAGAAGATTAACTTCCATCAAAGGGGGAGTGGAACTTGGAAGGTTTGCATCACACAACTGTTTGAAAATCTACTTTGTTATACTTGTGTTGAGCATATGAGGATGGGATGAGACCTTTCTCTATTCACACTAAAAAAAAAAAGGCGAAAACAAAAAAGGCCTGTGAGAATGGGACCTTGCTGTAAGTGGATGATAAAAAAACTACGCCTTGCACAAAGACAACCGTGGATGAAAAGCTCTGAGGTGGTAGATGGCAATAAGAAAAATGAATGAAAGTTGAGAAAGTTAGGATTGGTCACTTTGATAAAGATTTGATGCAGGATAATAGGATAGTTTGTTTCATGGTGGGCTTAGGTTAAGGAAAGTTTGTGGGTTTATAGCTCTAAGAGGTGGAACGGCGGTTGTAGGCTTTGGGGATTCTAGACGGTCTTTGCATGAATGTAGAAGGGGACCAATCGGAATAATTTTTAGTTATTAGCTTGGAATAAGCCTTTACTGCAAATTAGAAAAATGAGAAAAAAAGAATCTAGGAATCCCAACTAGAACTCCCTGGGTGTAATCCTGTAACACAAACTTGAGAAGACTTGAATCCAACCTAAAATTCCCTAGGATCAACCCATACATGAGGTTGCATGAACACCTAGGCATTCTCACACTTCCCCACTAAAGTAGACACAGTAGTTCATACTCCAAATGTTTCCATTTCTCCAAAACAAAGCCATTACATCAAGGGTACAGGGTCAAAGCTCGGTGCCAAGTAAACTTTAAGATCAAATAATTTTTGGAGGCTTAGGAGAAATATTTTGTGAATATTTCACTAACTACTGCGAAAGTCTTTTAAAACTTTCTGGTAATGTTGGGAAAATGCCAGGAATCTGATGACAAATGTCTTTTCATGAATCTTTCAACTTTCCACTGATTTGCAAAATTCCTAACATCCTTGTTATAAGGTTGATATTCCCCCCCCCAAAAAAAAAAAACCCACCCACCCACAGCCACAACACTCGCACAGAGGCAAAAGGATAAAAAATTGAAAGACACCAACAAAACACAATTTTCTAATACGGGTTTTCTACACCTTGTTTCCCATCCTCACTTTTCTTTCCTTGCTTTTTCCAGTTCAAGCTTGGGTTGGACCCAATCTGGCACAATTTTTTCTAATGATTCGATGATGCTCATCCCAAAAATGTGTTGGGACAAGGCTTTGTGTTTTTTTCGAGTTGAATTGAGTTGTAGATTCAATGATGCTCATGCATATTGTGTTAACCCTCTCTTATCCAATAGAAGCTGAATTATTGTCATGTCTATTAAATAGATGTTATCAGAAAACATGTCATGAAGCTACTGAAATTATAAAATGTTGACTTCTCTGCTTGCCTAGTTCAATTAATTTATGTCCTTAGACTTTGCTTTGGAATTGAGCACATACTTGAAGAGTTGTCTGATGTCAATGCACAAGTCATTACTATTTTTTTTTGTTGCTGCAGTGGAAACCGATCTGCTATTGTAACAAATACAACAGTGGAAATTGTGGTTCCTGAAAATGTTATTGGCTCCGTCTATGGAGAGAATGGTAGCAATCTGGCTCGTCTAAGACAGGTAGCATCCACTTTGATCAGTCGATATTATTTTGCGGGCCATGTTAATTTTTTTTTTAGCTATATTCAATATATGAGTCATCTAGGAACTGGCTGTTCATGGAAACTGATGATTCTTACTAAGTTTCAAATTCCACAAATCAAGGCTTTGGGTTTATTGGCTTGCCTTGCACGACTGCATGGAAATTCCACACTGGCTTCATTCACTTTATAAACACCTTTCTTAGGTACCCATCATGTCCTATAGAGTATGGTAACATATAAGATTCCAACTCAGCATCTTTGAGTGAGAATTTGGTTGCTTGTCAGCCTCTTTTCCTCGGGAGTTGATGATGATCAATTAAGCTTAGGCTCATTTAATAGTATCCCGGAAATGTGGAAAGATCTTGATGTGGTGTAGGCTGCTTGTGATCCATTCTTTATTTTAGTGTAACAAAGCAACAAAAAATCTGAGTCTCCTGTGGCCATGTTTACGCATGCTTGCTCATCAGTTCATGTATCTTTATATTAGTGCTTTGGTATTTTCCAGTGATTTGCAAGCTATTCGCTTTATCATAAAATTCTGGGGTTGCTATCTATATTTATGAGGAAATTCACTTACAGTTGTTTCATCTGGTCTCTGTGAACAGATTTCTGGTGCAAAGGTCATTGTGCACAAACCTCGTCGTGGAACAACCAATCAGATTGTAATTATATCTGGGACTCCCGATGAAACCCAGGCAGCTCAGAGCCTCCTCCAAGCATTCATACTTACCGGGCCATCATGACAAGAATTGAATCACAACGATAGATTGTTTTCATTCAAAATTTCACCAAGGAAAATACAGCCACTAATGATCCATAGTTTAGTTGATATTCTTGTCATTCCAACGACTGTGTATGAAAGTTACTGTGTTTTAAACCCCCTGTTTATGCCAATCCCATCAATTTTGTCATCCCAGATTTGATGGGTAAACCTGTTGCTTTGAAGCAGGTGCTAATATTTAAACTTTCTGATACTGTGGAGGTGCTAGTATGAATTGCATATGGTTAAGAGGATGAACAGAACCCTGTAATGTGTCTGGCTGGCATTGGTCACACCAGAAGCCCATAATTCTGCATGTCAAAAGTAATATATAGATGAGAATATAGCACCAATGCCATTGCTGTCTAGTCTCCTCATTGATCGATTCCAAGAGTTCAAATTTTAATTTTGTGGTGGAAACAACTGAATCGAAAAAGTGATTGATTATAGAAATTCTCATGTTTTGAAGTGTTTCATAATATTTCTCTAAACTGGCAAAAAAGTAAAGTTAGATTCCATAATACTTCTACGTTTGCACTTTTATCCTAAAAAATTCTTGCATTCATTTTCAACAGTCATATGGTAGCATGGGAAGCACAATCCTCAAGAGTCCTCCATCTTCTCTTAGCTTCCCCCACCCATAACATACAAGCAAGGCATAGATTACATAGTACTTGGCCTCACCCAACTAATTCCCACATGGTAAAACGTGTTCCATAGTAAAAACATAGTGGGACAATGTGAGAATAAATGACTCACTCCCACTATCACCTTTGCACATAACACACCATTGCGGTAAAAAACAAGTCATTAATCTCCTTTGAAAGACATCATAAGTATTAATTTTATGAGTGATTAACCATGCACAAATTTGCATCTTTAAAAGCAGTCTAACGTCATAAATCACATTCGAAGGAGGAAATAAAAGAAAAGAAGAACCATCGATTAAAGACTCAGAAAAGGATTTACACGAGAACACACCTGTAGAATCAATATTCCAACACATTCCATCCAAATGATCACGAGTCAAAGAGACATTACTAAGCAACGAAAGAACTCCCGCCAACTCCATACATTCCCTATCATTAAGACTCCTATAATACCCGAAATCTCATGACAAAGGATATGGAAAGTTCTAAACAGAGGAAACAATCCTTTGACCTAGAAATCTAGAGAATAATCTCTACCCATATGTCCTCTCAAAATTGAACCCTTGTCCTTTCTCCACAATGAACTTCAATTTTTGAAAAAAAGGTAGTAGAAATAAACTTCCATTGACTTCAAAAGTTACTTTTTACCTGATTAACATCCCACACATTGGCTTGTACCCCATACTTGCTCCTAAAAACAGAGCATCGTAGCACGATTTGTTCCAAAAGGAATCACCAAAACCATTTTCCAACCAAAGCTTCATTCATTTTTAACAAATTTCCATCCAAAAGACCACCTTTATCCTTAGATGTAGACCTCTCCAACAAAACAAACTTTCTACAAACGGGATAAAATTGCTCACAGCTAATCCTGAAACAGTGTAACGGCAAGAGCCTCTTATTTTGCATTGGGTTTCCTTTTTTTTTTTTGCGGCTAGTTGTTCACAAGAGTTTTACAACATATTAAGCCTTTCCAGCCAAATCGTTCTAGGCCCCGCAGGGAAATGCTGCCACAGCAGATTGACAGAATCCTAATCCCACTCAGGTCAATCTCAGAAGTAGGTTACAGGAAATCCAATTTAATAAAATTGTTGATAAGAAATAATGGTAATTTAGTGGCCCATTAATTCATTTGGACCCACACAACACAGATCATACATATGCATCAATACTAAGGTTTACCAATATCAGGTTTCATGAAGGCAACATCAGATTAACTCACTCTAATATCACACATCATACATAATGCATCAATACAAAGGTTTTCCATATCAGGTTTGATGAAGGAAACAGCAGATTAACTAACTCTTTACAACAGCTTCGGTTGATGTTGCTGCTGGAGTGGGTTTGAGTATAATTTCGACATTATCGTGAACACCTTGTAGCAGTAGCTCACCATCATATGTGACAAATTTACGTTTCTTTGCAGCCCTTAATGTCCCTACAAGTGCTTCAAAGATGTTTGCACACTTGTCATCGTGAAATAGCACACCAAATGTGACCTGCAAAACAGAATGCAAAATGTTTGCCAAAGAAAATGCAGATATAGATCAATTGATGCACTTTGACAATATCAATTGAATTTGATTTCTATATGGAATAAAGAAAGAATGCATGAGACTCCTGCCATGGAGTCCAAATTTGAGAGATCCAAAAAATAAAGAAGAAAAAAAGGGGGGAAAAACAATGGAACACAAACAGAATGTAGATGAAACTAACCTAGAAGTAGAACGGCATACTTCCCTCCATTTAAGTCTTGAGTTCAACCATGCTCAATTTCAAGAGTATGGCTTTCAAAGTTCATCAAAATAACTAACATTAAGCTATTTGTTTCTCACTCTCTTTTTTCTCCTATACAAGAATCACAACTATTGTAAACTACAAATAAAGGTGAACCCTTTGACCACAGTCTACTGCTAGGGAGGGTTAGTTTGTGTAAACACCTAACTTATTAACATTTATTTGCACAAAATCCACAGACTTAAAACTGACAATCTCACACTTGACAGCATGAGTTTTACCAAAACAGTAAATACCGCTCCCTAAACATCATCTGCCTCAATGTGCCAAATGGTGATCAGCAGTACTGTAATTGTAGCTGATCAAACATCAATAGAAACATTACTGTAATTGTTCCCTTCCTCGAAAAAACCACCTTCGCTTATCTAATTCATGTATTCTGCCCTTCTTACCACATCGAATACAACAAAGCCTCAAATTGTATGGAACATCAAGGGACTCTGAAAAAGTCATGAACATTGAAGCAGTTAACCAAAATCAAATTACCACAAGCAATATACTATCCACCCTCTAAACATTATGATATTCTCTGGCTCCAATTCATTAATGGAAGTAGCTAAATTGTCACACATTATACGACCTTAACTTTTCGGTGTCATTTACCCAGTGCCTCCATGTCGACAATAGAAAAGGTTCCAAAGCTGAGTTATTTATAACCAATGCAACCCCAGTTACACTGATGAAATGGAATGTATAACGAATCAGATGCCAACATCTTGAAGACCTTTAACTTCACTTGCAGGTAATGGATGAAAAGGGTGGTCATCCAATTAATTCACCCAAAAAAGCCGACTAAAAACTCCACCTGACTATTGTTTATGTTCAGAAAATTATAGCAATTATTATAAACTCATCATCTTGGAATCACACGAAAAAAACAGTGAGATGGTTGCCAAAAAAGGAAACATGGAACAGAATAAAATAATCAAAACAGGAAATTAACCACCACAATCTTCAATCAACAATCTCTGTTACGATCCCAAATCTTGCAAGCCGGTTTTCAGGGCCATGGGTTCGTAACAGTCTCGAAATAAACATCTAGTATGGAACCACTGCAAAATTAAGATCCGATCGAACACAAATCTAAACACTGCTAAGACAGGAAGAAAAAAAAGCATAAATACGCACACACACACACAAACAAACAGACATCAGCTATAAAAAGAACGAAAAATATATGATCAACAACGTAATATAGATCCTCCATTGACACGACCCAATCAATCTAGATCTGTATCAGATCAGAACAATTGCCAATTTACCATTTTCTCGATCTGTTATGCTTAAACCAGACATACCCACATACTAATGTCTTAATCTGGAGACAAAGAGAGACTTAACAAGCAAGGAAAAAGAGAACTAAGCTGAAGAAACGTCGAATAAAGGGAAAACAAACAATGGTGTACAATTCATACATATATATATATATATAGACAGAGAGAGAGAGAGAGAGAAAAGGGTTTGATAAAGGAATGGAATGTACCCTGTAAGAGCCATCGTCTTGGATCTTGCCGAGCCGTTTGATTTCTTCTTTGAGTCGCTCAACCTCTTCTTCTACGTTCATGGTTCAGTTTATCTTCTCTCTCTCTCTCTCTCCCTCTCCCGAGTCCTGATAAGTTTTCTTCAATTTGGCAAATTTTCATTTTGCCGTCGTTTGTTTAGCTGGAAACGGTAGAAAATGCAATAAAAAATTTTTTAAAAATTTTTATGTTTGGTTAGTATGTAAAAGAAAATAATATAAAAAATATTTTTTTTCCATAAATAACTAACTTTTTTTCTTGTAAAAAATATAAAAAAATTGTGATATATAACTAACTTCCAATTTTATCTTTTTTTAAAATATTTTATTAGTTATTAATTTTAAAAAATTTTAGTATAAATTTGATTAATCATATAATTTAGCTCAAAGACCTTTATGTTAGTGATTGTCCTAAAATTAGGTTTCGAGTCACTTTTAAAAAAAAATTTAACTTTCAATTATAATTACATATTTTTTTCCTTTTTAGACCAATTTAATATAATTAAGAATAATTCAGACAACTATAAAAATTTGTTATAACTTTCATTTCGTTCAAACATTAGAATAATTTTTTTGTAAAATTTTCCCATAAATTTTTCATTCTAAATCAAATACATGCATAAAAATATATTTTTTATCATTTTTTTTTTCTTTCACTTCACTTTCTATCATTTTTTTCTTCCTAACCAAACAGATCATTTATATACGTTTTCCAGAAAATCTATATCTATAATATAAAATAGGGTAGATTTTAATAAGTCGATAGAACGGTCTCAAATAAACTCATTTAATAGTCAACAATATTATTTTTAAAACTATTCATATTGCATCATGTTTTAAAACACAGGTTACCCATAATATCTAATAAATTAGAAAATGTGAAAAAATAAAAAAACCAAAAGAGTACGGTGTTACATTTTTACTTTTCGATAGCATACTGAAAAGTAAAAAAAATCTTAAAATGTGATAAGTTTCACCAAAAAATTAATACACTTCACTCAAAAAAGTCCCAGGTGAATCCAGAAAATACTAATAATGTGTTTGGTAGAATGGATAAAAAAAATAGAGAAATAAAAAGTATAATTGATACATTTTTTTATATTTATGAGAATAATTTTTCTTTTTCTTTTTTGTGTTTGATAGAAGAGAGATGACAAGTACAAACAAACAATTTTTTTTTTCTAATATGGATGAAAAGTGAAAGAATAAAAAAAATATATGTACATTTTGTTATTATATTTATGTATGAAATTAATATATATATATATATATATATATATATATATATATATATATATATATATATATATATATATATATATATATGTAATACATAAATAGAATAACACACACATATTAAGGATATACGCAGAAGTACTATATATTTAAACTCTAATAACTAACTTTTTATCTATTTTTCCTTCCAAGAGGAGAAAAGGTGAGTGCATCACAAATAAGTAAACTCTATATAAAATGTGGTATAGATATTCAAAAAAAAAAGTGATGGGTGACACAACACTAAAAAAAAAAAATTTAATCCTCGCTTTTGTCTCACGAGAATTAAAAGATGTGGTACAAATATTTACGAAGATTTCATACTCTTGTCCTTGTTTATTGACTATTTTTTATAGGGTTAATTGTACTAAAAGTTCTTAAAAAATAAAATTTCTCTCATTTTGATCCTCAATTGTAAAATTCGGGTAATTTTGAATTTTTATGAAAAACGAAAAAATGATAATTTTCCACTACGGTATGAATTGAAAATTTAAATTTTTTTAGAACTCGAATGATGAAACGGACCTCATCGTTGGTTTTGTTTTACAAAATCTAACTATCCAGTCAATTTTTACTGAATTCCGAGACAATAAGATTTTTTACATTTTACAAGGCAATCGGGTGTCGCTTGACAAAAAAACGAGGCGTGAAATTAAATTTTAAAAATTAGAAAATAATTTAAAGAAGTTTATATAAAAAAATTTTGAACTTGAACTGCGACGAAATTTAATCGTTTTAGGACAAAATCGGACCCAAAAATAGAGGACGTATAGCGCAACGAGGGTCAAGCATTCCAAAGGGTATAAATAGGGGAGAAAATTAAATTTTCTCCCCATTTTTCAGCTGGTTTCGTTGGAGAGGGAAAAAGACAGAGTTTTCAACTTTTCTCCACGATATACGGCTACCCATTTGTCGCAATTCTTCGAGTCAAGAATTAAAGTTCATCTATGTGACAAGGGCTACGCCTATGTATCAAAAATTGCGGATTTCACAGAAAATTCAAAAATAAAATTTTGGGAGAAATCAAAGTTTGAGCTTAGTTTATATTCTTAAAGGTTTCTACCACTTGTTTTTATACTTCAATGGGATATGGTTCTTTTTATAATTAGGTTTATTTCCAACCTAGGGTTATTATATGGAATGGATAAGATGCTAGAGATGTAGTCTCATATATAGCACTTACCTATGATGTTTGAAATGTGAAAAATGAGTATTAATAATGGATAAAATCAATTCTAGCATGAATTGAGTAAGTAGAAATTACTTGTTTGTTATTTCTTGAAAAATGTGATTATTTGGGTATATTGTGTAATTACATGAATTGGTGTTTTCTGAGTGTTGATAAAATATCTTGAATGATTAAAGTATGTTGTTTTGATGAAATTGAAATATTGAAATATTGTAAATTGTAATTTTATGTTTATGATATAATTGACAATTAGGAATGTGAAGCTTGATGTTAAAATTGTAATTGAGTTTTTAGTTGTATAATGATATGAAATATAATTGTACATTTACATTGCATATGCACGAGAAACATTACATTCGTGGGTATTGACATGAGTGTGGGTGTGTGTACATGTTGTTGGATCAAACACCATTCTTGGTGGATGATGTGTGAACTCGATATAGTTGGACCAAGGTTCGACTGAGTCGCATGATTTGCATGAAAAATAGGGTTAGGGCTAGATTGTCCCTCGGGTGCAAGACTTAGTGATTGGATACACACGTTGTTGGTGTAGAGTCCATAAAGCGTATCGACATATGCAGAGCCATTAGTGGAAGTTCATTACCATATTGGTTGGGTACTCGTTGGTGTAAGTTCATAAATACCCATCCCAAGAAAGACCCGAAAATTTTAAAAAATCATTGGATGTGTAACATCAATGACAGGAGCTTGGAATGCTCAGATTTATACACATGAAAATGCATGTGTGAGGGAGCCAGTGAAGGCTGGGGTTGAGTTGCATGTGTAAGTTTCATCTCATATTATGACATGACATAGAAGATTTCAGACATGACATAGAAGATTTCATTGGTTGAATTGTATATTCTTGAATGGAGTAATGTTGCTTTTGATTTGCATATGAACATTTCATATGCATTTAAGTTAGGGAGTAGTCTTTTTAGGAGATACCTTATTAAACGTAGCTCACCCTTTATGGGGACAATTTTTCAAGTGCGGGATATGCGCCGGTGGACGGCTTTCGTTTCGGCTCTCAGTGTTGAAGAAAAGCTGAGATATGGCAGCTTTTGAAGAAAAGCTGAGATATGGCAGCTTTTAAACTATGTTTTTTGTAAAACTAAAATGTAATCTAGTTTTTGGGACATGTAATGTTAGGTAAATGATTGTAATAGAACTCATATGAACTGTATTTTGTTTAAAATGGATGTTATATGAGTTTGGGTTGATGTTGTATAAGGTTGAAATGAATTGAAATTGAAAAATAATAGAATTGGGGAAAAATTGAAAAAATCAACTAGTAGAACGATGAGCTATTCTGCCGGTAGAACTTTTCTAACTAGTAGAACGTCAAGTTTTGTGGTAGAAAAATTCCAGTGAGTTTTTCTACCGGTAGAATGTTGACATTCCTACCAATATTACTTTTTCAGTAGCCTTTTTCTACCAACAGAACTTGTACATCTTCTATCGGTAGGTTTTGTTAAAATTTCAAATTTTGAAATACTTTAGCTAGACCTTTGAGTCTTAGATTCTTTTGTTTAAATGATATAAATTGACAATAAATGAGAGTAAATTGACAATAAATGAGAGTAAATTGATGAATATTAGACCTTGGATAGATTATGTGATTAAATGGTATACAGGTTACGTATTTGGAAGTACCCGGTACAAGAAAGACTTTGCCTAAACTTTATGTTGTTGTGATCCCGGTAAAGGAGATGTTGTGCCGTGGTGTCGGGTTATGCGGCATCCACGGGTAATTCCGCGGGTTGATTGGTGAACAATGGGTTGACAAAGAATCTCCGATTTTGGGGGCGTCACACATTGCATTATTTTGGTCCTTAAAGCATTGAATATGTTTCTATAGGGTCCTTCAAACAGACAACGTCCAGATTGTTAATAATTTTTTTTATCATAAACTTGTCACGTAATAGCTAAATATGAACAAAAAATAATTTTAATAACTCTTAAACAAAATTTGGGGAGCTCTTGACAAAAAAATATATAATATTATTAACTTTTGACCAAAGTTTGAATAATTCATGATCAAAACTATGTAATTTAGATATGTATTTAACCAAAATTTGAGTAGAACTTTGGTCAAGAGTTATTCAAATGATTTTTTTGTCCATATTTAAGTAACATATGACAAGTTTATGATAAAAAATCGTTAGCGATTTAGACACTGTTTACTTGAAGGACCGTATAAAAACATATTTAATACTTTAGAGATCAAAATGATGCAATTAAAATATTTGAGACCATTTAAGATTTAATATATTCTAAAAGTTCAATAACTTAATATTTAATAACCATTTAGGATGTAATCACATGGATGAGTGTCGTTTGTGCACACGAAGACACTTGTTGGATTGTTTTGATGATGTTGAGAAAAAACAAGTGATTTTTTTTATAAAAAAATAGGGATACAAATATGATTTATATCAAAAGCAATTGATTGACTTATAATTCATTTTTATTATTGTATTATACAAAACTATTATTTGCGACCTTGAATTATTTAGGATTAATTGCACTAGAGGTCTCCAAAGTATGGAGTTTATTTTATTTTGGTCCCCAATATTTTAATTGTATCATTTTGATCCCCAATGTTTTAATTGTATCATTTTGATCCCTCAAATATTGAATATATTTTTATATA